TATATATATTTTTTTTATTTCGAAATTTTCAATATTTGTAGGCCGGAACGTACCCGATGCTATATAGTCGACTGTCTGTAACACCTATGGTGACCACATGCTTGTTAAAATAACCTTGTCTTCTAATGCATGTGCACAAGAGTATATTATGACAGCTCTGTAGTGCAGTGGCTTAGCAATGAGTTGCATCGCTGAAGGCCGCGGGTTCGAATCCCGCACGGCACAACTATTTGTATGGCCTACAAATAATTGTTCTGGGTTCGGATGTTTGTCCTTGTGAAATTTATGTATGTAAACTGCCCCGACGGTACAGGCAAAATTTTATAAAAAGAAAAAAAAAACTTTTTCTTTCAATAAGTATTCTTGATATATAATCGACAGTAGCCTAATAGTTAAGAGTATGAAGACTGCGAACTTAAAATTTGTAGGTTTGAATCCGTCTTCTTATTAAAAATTGTTTATTTTTATAAGTATATTAACTTTTATATGCATTTAGTAAAAAACTGTTATTTTGACATTACAAATAGACACTTCAATATACAGCTTAAAATATATCTCTATATATAAAAACCAATTGCTGTCTGTTTATAGCTAAAACTCAAAAACGGTTTGGCCGATTTTGTTGAAATTTTTTGTGTGTGTTTGTATAAGTCCGTAGTGGTTTAGATTCACATTATAACCCAGCACTGCTGTCGAGATCCAGAAATCACCAGTGTGAAGCTGGGGCGGATCACAAGTATAATATATAAGTAATGAAAACTATTATAATAATTTTTCTTTAATATATAATATTGGAAATAATAATAATACATTCATTGAAATTGCCTGATATAATATATAAAAAAGAATGTTTGTTTGTTCGTATTTTATGCGCTGCCATAGCGTTCATCAGATTGCGGTAAAACTGTCAACATTTTGCTTCCACTTACGCGAAGGATATAGGCATAGTTGGACCCGATAGGTGGCGCTGTTGTAGAATCCAGATATCATCCGTGCGAAGCCGGAGCAGATCGCTTGTATATTATACCTTTAAAATAAATTTGTCGCTATGATACGCGCGCCACCTACTGTAAGTTAACTGTACTATGCCTATAACCATCGTTAGTTGTATGGTTGCGCATAGTAGCCAAACAAATAAATATTACGTTTTATATTTTAGATCATGGAATTTCAATTAATGTAATGTGTTTCTAAATAAATAATATAACTCTTTCAAATTTAAAACGATATTTCCACATATATTTTTGCGGCAGCAATCCGCCGGGTACCAGTTAATTTTTATATTTAATAAATATTGAATGAAAATTAATGAACCTGAAACCCTGTAGCGAAATCTACGTATCAAGTCGGATTACGGCCGGTCTTGTAAAAACAAATTGGTGTTGATAAAAACCATTTCCGATAGTCCAATAAAAACGCCGACATCAAATTTTTATCTCAAATGACATGCCACATTAACAAACGATAGGCTATCTATGTGTCAACACTTTAAACCTGTATAAAGATAATTGAAACTGGACGATCAGAGGTATATTGTACGTGGTGGAGTCATGCTGCAGCTATATTATGGTTATAGCACGAATTGACTGTCTCGTTGTGTTTGAATACCGGACCTCATGAAAAGTTACTGGATTTTTCTGTCAAGAAATCCTCAGTTACAATTCGAAGTCAGAAATTTGGCGATGTTCTACCCCCGTGCCTCGGAAAGGACGTACAGCCTTGTTCGTGTCAGTTACCGTTCCATCGGACAATGAGAGAAAGTCAATAGAGATTGCATATATGTCCACACACTCTAGCACTCTATAATCCTGTCCTGCGCAGATGGCTTGGCTCCGTACTCTTTTTTTTTTATAGGATAAGGGTGACAAACGAGCACACAGTCCACCTGATGGTAAGTGGTTGCTGCGGCCCATAGAAGACATCTACATCTATCTTTGATTACGAATCAAAATGCAGATGCGTTGTCACCCGTGAGGACTAAGATGGAATGCCTCATTTCCACTAAAAAGGGTCGCCGTGTTCAAAATTCGGTCTGGAGATAATTGGTACTGGAAGATCAGAGGTGTCTATGTTTTTACGTGAGAGCCATGCTGCAGCAATAGTAGTATTACAGTTGTAGCACGAATGGGTCGGCTCGACCGGGGAAGGACCACGCTCTCGTAGAATACCAGTGTAAAATGGCAGCTTGACACTGATGTGTTTCATATGGTGAGTGTAGAGAACCGGAGACCCATTTTACTGGAAAAGAGGCATTCCATCTCAGTCCTCACGGGTGACGACGCATCTGCATTTTGATTCTTTATTGGGGATAAATGTAGATGTCTGTGGGTCACAGCAACCACTTACCATCAGGTGGACTGTATGGTCGTTTTTCGCCCTATCCTATAAAAAAATGTAATTGTGGACGTTCCTACGGAGGTTATCCAACTGCGCAGGACAGGATTATAGTGCCCAAGTGTGTGTGCAAGCACAAGTGCACTTTCTATTCATTTACTCTTATAGTCCGATGGGACGGTAAACCAACACGGCTGGAGAGCAACGGCTTTATGTGCTTTTCGAGGTGCAGGGGTAAAACATAACCAATTTTCTGACTCTGGGCAGCTACTGAGAATTACCTGACAGAAAAACTCAACAAATTTTTTTCGGGCCCGACCCTGGATTCGAATCCGGTACCTTATTGTTCAGCAATCGCCTTTACGACCAGTAGACAAACTAGGCAGTCAACAGAGAACAGACAACAATATCGTAACTAATTTTATTCGACGCATATAGATTAACATTTTACTCAAATCCATTCTGTAGTTTTTGGAACGAACTTCTTTATCGGACGGTACGAATTTGGCGAATGGTGGCTAGGCGAGAAAAAGTGTAAGATTTTTTCGTCACGACCCCTTCTGACTGTAGTGTAGACGGCCTTGGCGGCTATAAGGAAGCGAGATAGAATAATATCTATCTCCCTCGCACTTTTTCTTATGTTGCCATGAAAGAAATATTATTTTATTTTAAATGACGCTTCATTTTAATAGTCGCTAGTAATTCATTTATTTGTACTTGTTAATCAATAATATAATATGTTTATCAATAATAATGTACTACGAAAGGAACTTCATTCCAACTGAGTTTTCTAAGGCACTCGCGCATATTTTTTTTAAACTTAAACAAGTGACAAAGAGAAGAGATCAGATACAATCGCAATTTTTTCAAATTTGTAATCAATTTTTGCAGCACTTGCTGACATTTGGCATACATACTTTATAAATATTGTTATTATAAATGTTATTCTAAACATATACCAACGATGTTGTACCATGGAGCTGGTCTGATGATGGTCCTGGATGCTGGCTTTAGCAACGCCAATATAAGCTTGTTTACAAATAGACTTATATTTAACTGGCGACCCGGCTCGGCTTCACCTGCATCGAATCTACAAATGTGGCGTAATTTATTTTAATAAACTTTTCGTTTTTACAAAAAAAAAATAACTAGGTTTATGGGATCAAAAATTGCCTAGATCCTTCCTAGCCCCTTTGAAACAAGACGGTATGAGTGGAGCACAGTACATGCTACACGACTTCACTAGTACAACTAAATTTGCAGTGAAGATTTCATTACAATATTTGTGCGTAGTGAAGCCACGCTATAGCTTACAATGGGTTGGCTCGGTCGGGGTAGAACTACGCTCTCACAGAATACCAGCGTAAAATATTATCAGCTTGATGCTGCTGTGTTTCGTATGGAGTGTGTAGAGAACCGGAGACCTTTTTTAGGGTTCCGTGGCCAAATGGCAAAAACGGAACCCTTATAGATTCGTCATGTCTGTCTGTCTGTTCGGCCGTATGTCACAGCCACTTTTTTCCGAAACTATAAGAACTATGCTGTTGAAACTTGGTAAGTAGATGTATTATGTGAAGCGCATTAAGATTTTCACACAAAAATAGAAAAAAAAAGCAATAAATTTGGGGGTTCCCCATACTTAGAACTGAAAGTCAAAATTTTTTTTTCATCAAACCCATACGTGTGGGGTATCTATGCATAGGTCTTGTAAAATTATATTGAGGTTTCTAATATCATTTTTTTTCTAAACTGAATAGTTTGCGCGGGGGACATTTCCAAAGTGGTAAAATGTGCCCCCCCTGTAACTTGTAAAATAAGAAAATTATAAAAGTAAAAAAAAATATATGATGTACATTACCATGTAAACTTCCACCGAAAATTGGTTTGAATGAGATCTAGTAAGTCGTTTTTTTAATACGTCATAAGCTCATAAGTCGTAAACCGCAATTCACCTTTCATTCAATCAACTAAAATATAAAAATAAAAAAAAGCATTTAATTTCATAAACCTTATGCATAAACCGTGAACCATTATTTTCTGTAAAAGTAATATAATCTGTAATAATAATTATAATTCGCGCGGGGCGTGGCTTGATCGGTAGCGGGTGAGAAGCGTGCGGGGAAGTAGTGTATATTTTCTTTGGCGGGGGGCAGGTTCCCGCTTGTCAAACGGGAATATATATTAGCTTGTTTAGCTATCACAAGCCTATATGGGCTCGCATATAGTTAGATCTAAATCCCATCATTTAGGTACCTAATTATAATGTTTACTTATCAATAACTTAATTTAAAAAAAAAAAAAACTATTATTAAAACATCGATTAAAGTTACAACGAACTACAAGCACTTTTATATTACGAGTATGTTACTTGCTGCTACGGAACCCTTCATGGGCGAGCCCGACTCGCACTTGGCCGCTTTTTTATTGGAAACGAGGCATTCCATCTTATTCCTCAGTGGTGACAACGCATCTGCATTTTGATTTTTAATTGAGGATAAATGTAAATGTCTATGTGGCCACAGCATCCGCTGAAGAGAAGATAAACTGTGCGCTCGTTTGTTACCCTTATTCTGTATTAAAAAACCTGCAAATAATATGAGCGTCTTTCCGCAGATTAAACAGGAGCAAAGATTTGGTGAATAATATTCATAATTCTCTGTCTTCAGTCGAAGCCTGGCGAGGTTACTCAAGCTGTCAAGGACGCCATAGACATCGGCTACCGTCACATCGACTGCGCGTATGTCTATGGCAACGAGAAGGAGGTGGGGGAGGCTCTCACCGCGAAGATCAACGAGGGAGTCGTGAAACGGTGAGTGCGGAAGATATACAAATATACATTTACTAATCTGACTCTAAGTGGACCTTGTCACGAAAATTTTTGTACTTATTTTGTTTTGTTTAACAAATAATAACAACAATTCTTTTTAAGACGTTTTATAATATTGATATACATACTTATCAAAAACCTATATAAAGAAGAAACAAAATAAAATTAGAACGTCGCGGATTAGACGCCTTGCAGAAAAGCTAGTTCTTCCCTGGCACGACTAGCGGCGGGTCGGGTGGCAGATGTTTTGGTTAAATGAAGAAATAAATAGCATAAAATACATTTATTATTATTTTTCAATAATTTTTTTCAATAATTAGTGGTGAAACATCCGCAGATATTGATTTAATATAGTACTCGTGTTGGGGTGTTTCGCTCTTATCCTCTCTGTGTGCGTGCACGTGTTCATGCGTGCGTGCATGCATGCATGCGTGCGTGCGCGTGTGCGTGTGCGTGAGCGTGTTCGTGTGTGCGCGTGCGCGTGTACGTGCATTCGTGCGTGCGTATGTTTGTTTGTATGCGCGCGCGCGCGGGTGCGTGCGTGCGTTCATGCGTGATTGCGCGTATGTGTACGTGCGTGCTTACGCGTGGGCGTGCGTGCTTGCGTGTGGGCGTGCGCGTCTGTGAGTGCGTGCGCGTGCACGTGTGTGAGTGTGTGTGTGTGTGTTTTTTTTATTAATCCGTAACAATCTATCTCTTTGTAGAGTGGCCTTGCCTAAATAAAACCTTGGCAGGCGTTTAGTCGATCGCAGTAACGCTCTGCACTTTTACGCGGCTGACCGTTTCCATCGTGGGTATTTTTTACGCTTGGCGTAAAGAGATGGTTTCACCGACTCGCGATACCTACTGTATGCAACGCATCTGCATTTTGATTCTACTTTTGATTCCGATCCTCAGCATACAATTATCGTGAAGTAGACTGTGTGCTTGTTTGTCAACTTTATTCTATAAATAAAATTACTTTTAATAAAGATAATAGAGAAGCATTATAGTACTGACTTCAGAAAGTAAAATTATTTTATTGTTATTAGTACTTTGGTTAAAATGAAGTCCAAATCGAATCTTTGTAAAAAGTTTATTTTTTACCCTTTTGAAAGGACCAAAGAATATCACAATCTCGATGTCGCTTTTTTACAAAACTTTATACCTTATTTTTCAACCCTTAGGGGGGGGGGGGATTTCTACTATAAATTTGTATGTAACCAACTATGAACCTATTTCAATTTGAAATAAAAACTCAAACACTGAACGAAAATAGCTAATTAAATTACTGTTCGAATCACACAGGGAGGACCTCTTTATTACATCTAAACTGTGGAATACCTTCCACCGTCCCGACCTGGTGCGCGATGCTCTCCTCAAGACCTTGGAGAACCTCAACCTGAAGTATTTGGACCTGTATTTGATACATTGGCCCCAGGCTTACAAGGTAAGTAATGTCTCTATCGGTTATTATTAGTAATGTCTATATTGGCGTTATGATTATTTACATCCCTTCACAAGTCCACTGCAAAATGTCGGTTTACCCCAAGGAACGCCACAAAGCCATATGTCACGGGTGTCCATCGACTTTCTGTATCTTTTACCAGGTCGTCAATCCATCTAGAGGAGGGCTGCCCTAAACTCCAGTTATCTGTCTGAAGCTGTCACTGAGAAATTGGTTTTTCGAACTGTAAGACGTACCCATTGCAACTTCTGCTTACTGACCCATTGGAAACAATCAGTTACTCTAGTTCTATTGCGAACATCGTCATCTCAAAGTTTATTACGAAGAGAGAAAAATAAACAGAAACTCCAAATACAGCCCGCTTGATAGCTCGCTGAGCGACATCAAGTTAAAGATTCAACATTCAATTTCAAGTGCATAATTCCTATTTCAAGATGTGAATTTCTCATAGCCTGTTATTTTAGTTCAAAATTCCTCAAATAGTTTATCAATTACAGGAAGGAGGCGATCTGTTCCCAGAAGATGCGTCAGGTAAGATCCAGTTCTCAGATGTGGACTATGTGGACACTTGGAAGGCGCTCGAGCCTCTACAAAAGGAGGGTCTTGTGAAGAGTCTCGGAGTCTCCAACTTCAACTCCAAGCAGCTGACGAGGCTGCTAGAAAGTGCCACTATTAAACCTGTCACCAACCAGGTGAGTGGGAGCTGAAGCTAAATACCATCGTTTTTAATAAATGTGACTGGAAAATGTCAATAAGTTCTCATGGCCTCTGATAGACTTTTTACATACATATATTTTTAACGCGGTAAAGCCATGCTGCTGCTATATTTTGCTATAGTTGTAGCATGAATGGGTTGGCTCGACTGGGGTGGTAGCTTAATGCTGCTGTGTTTTGTATGGCGAGTGTAGAGAACCGGAGACCCTTTTTTACTGGAATTGAGGTGTTCCGTTTTAGTCCTTAGGGGGGACAACGCATCTGCATTTTGATTTTTAAACAAGGATAGATGATAGATGTGTGAATTGAGGCCACAGCATCCACTATCCACCAGGTGGACTGAAAAAAACTGAAAGAAGTAGTTTTCATTCCTTTATTACAGCTTATCAAAGTCCACTGCTGAAAATAGGCTACCCCTAGATTGCTTCATAGGGGCGATATTTGCCTTAGTTGCAACGCTTGCCATTTTGAGTTATTATCCTCTCGTGCTAATTTCCCTCTATCGCCTCTAACGGCACCCACGGTGTGATATGGGGTTGTGGATTACATATACACTACAGAAGAAGTTATTGCGAAATTGTTAATTTATATTTTTAACTAATTCGGTCTCTTTGATCTTTTGATTTATATGCTTCTTATCATTTTCCAGGTCGAATGCCATCCATACCTGAACCAGTCTCGTCTGAAGGCATTCTGCGAGGAGCGGGACATTGTGATTACGGCCTACTCCCCCCTGGGTTCACCGGACAGGCCCTGGGCCAAGCCCGATGAGCCCCAGCTCCTCGAGGACCCCAAACTGAAGGCCGTCGCTGAGCGTCTAGGCAAGACTGTTGCACAAATCCTCATCAGGTGGGACACTATTCAAACTAGGACAATATTTTAGAAAATTCAGGACCTGGGACAACTTTATAGGACAGATATTTGTTGTAGTTGCTACGCTTGGCAAAAATTGTTTTTTTATTATTCTTGGTTGTTATTAGCAAAATGCCCCTGCCCTTGTCCTGTTTCAGTTTCCCTCTGTCTGCTTTTACGACACCCACGGGAATAAAATAGTATAATTTTATTCAATAGAGATCACAGATATACTTTTGTACACGGTTAGGCCATGCTGCAGCTATATTATTATGGTTGTAGCACAAATGGGTCGGCTCGATCACGAAAGCACCACGCTCTCACAGAATACCAGCTTGAAATAGAAGCCTAATGCTGCGGTGTTTCGTATGGTGAATGTAGAAAACCGGAGACCCTTTTTACTGGAAACGAGGCATTCCATCTTAGGCCCCATGGGGCGACAACGCATCTGCATTTTATTTTTTAATCGAGGACGGATGGTCTGTGCTTGTTTGTTACCCTTATTCTATATAAAAAACCAATCACAATACATCTAGCATAATATGAATTAATAATTTGATTAATGCTGTTATTATCCTAAAGGTACCAGATCGACAGCGGAAACATCGTGATCCCTAAGTCGGTGAACAAGTCGCGCATCGCCAGCAACTTCCAGGTGCTGGACTTCAAACTGTCCCGGGAGGACCTGGATCTCATCAACAGCTTCGACTGCAACGGTCGTTTCGTGCCCATGACTGCGTAAGTATCCTGAGCTCTAAACTTTTTTTTATACAAACCGAGGTGACGCACAAACTTACGGTCCACCTGATGATAAGTGGTTACTGCAGACCGTGAACACCTGCAGCCATTGTCAAACAATGAAGGCTACAGATGCGTTGTCACCTGCGAGGACTTGGAATGTCTTGCAGTCTGTAATTATATTGGCTCTCTTTACCATTCTGACCGGAACGCAACAGTGCAAGCGCTGCCACCTGCCCAGCTAGCATGGGCTGGGGACAAAAATTTTATCCCCTGATTATATCCACTGTAGAGATAAAATTATCTAGCCACAGCACGTGAACGGGCAGAAGTATATCCCCGTTTGATAACGAGTACACATATATCCCCCGTCCGTAGCATGGAGCCAAATGAAAGAAAAAATTATGCTTTTTTGACATATGAAAGGGACAATTCTATCCTAGTTCATTGGATGTGGGTTTAAGTTTATATTCATACAAAAATCTATCTAAGTCTTATCTCCTATTTTACCTACTGTGGATATTCTATCCACCGGTGTGCCTATGCTCAAAGGGTGTATAAAACTAAGCGAGGGGTAAACATTTTCTCCTTACCCTGGGGATAAAATTGTCTCCTGCCCATGCCTGCTGGCAGCAGGAATAGGGTAGGTAAGCCTGTGTGTACCACGCCGTATCGCGAAAAGTATATTTTGAAGCATTTATTTGGAAAATGTTAAAGTATTGTATGTAAGTAACACGAAACAACCTTATGAACAGAACACGCCTGCCTACGCAAACAGACTTCTAGGCACAACAGGAGTCCTACTACCTAATACTGTTTTATATCGATGAATATAATAAACTAGAATATTGATTTATTTGCATTGAATGTGGGTATTCACAATAGGGTAACCTCATCTACATAACGGATGGTCAAACGTCGACCTACCTTAAAAATTTCTTCTATTTTTTAACGTTTTCTTGCGTAGCGTAGGGGCTGTTGTTGGTCGCCCTAAGCAAGTGTCGTCACTGCTCACTCTCTAGTATTATATATTAGTCTATGCTGCTCACTGCAGTCGGCTCTGCCGCGTTTAAATTCACCTATCCGCCAAAGTCCACTGAAACCTAAACCTATGAAAAATATTCAACAAGTTGTCCACTAGATGGCGCTACTTTGTTTTTACATCGCGGTATGGTTGTGCTAAGAGAAATAGACATTGAGCTACAGTGCTGTTGACTCACATTAACGTTAAGATAGTAAATATTATACAAATAAGCACGAATTTTTGACAAGTTCCTTTTCTTTGTGTAAGGAACTCATTAGTAGAGATGAGACATACTTGCAAAATTTAATACCAGGGCTTCTAAGTACGAGTATGGAAAAATACCAGGGTCGAAAACCAGGTTTTAAAAATACTTGAAAGTATTTGTTAATGTCAATATATATATGAATGCCTAATTTGATTCGGGCCAAAATTTATACTGTACCTTTTTAAATTTTTTTTGGTAACGAAATGAAATCTTTCCTTCCTACTTTTCGGCTTAGGACTCTTAATAAATAAAAGTTTTAAAACTGTCTCTAAATTCAATATACACGCGAAATAACTATTTAAAAATTAGGTCACGGTCAGTAGGTTACGTAAACAGTTCACAATAATAATTGAATTTACAAGAAATCGAAACAAAACTTTCACTTCCCCGAATATAAACATAATTCTTATTACTTACTAGCTACTTACGCGACGTGTCCAGCCGCGGTGTCAGTTTGAAAATACTTGCAAAGTGTATAGTAATATATAAGGAAGAATACTTGCATAGGAATTCGACCCGCTTTCCATGTTAGGCTATTATGACTAAGGAGCAAATTCGTATAAATAAAAAAAATACTTTCAAGTTCAAAGTATTTTTAATTCACAAATACGATTGAGTTTCTTATTACTATTGAGATATGGATCATTTTCCTATGCAAGTATTCTCATACCTGCAAGTATTTTTTGGTCGTAAAAGGGCGCCGTACTTTAAAGTTAAAACCTGGTAGCGTAAATACGTCTCATTGCGACGCGAGGGACGTGTCCAGCCGTGGTGTCAAAATTTGAAAATACTTGCATAGGAATTTCACCTGTATTCCATGTTATCCTACTATGAATAAGGAGCAAAGTCGTATAAATAAAAAAAAATACTTTGAAGTTCTAAGTATTTTTCGTTAACAAATACGATTGAGTTCCTTACTACTATTGAGATATGGATGATTTTCCTATGCAAGTATTTTCATACTTGCGAGTATTTTTTGCTCGTACCAGGGCGCCGTACTTTGAAGTGAATACCTGGTTTTAAAACCTGGTAGCGTAAATACGTCTCATCTTTACTCATTAGTCTTGGGCCACAGAGTACTTTTTATAAACTGGAATAGAGTAGTCTTGGGCATAGTCGGTCGCCATTGGGATCGCTCAATTTAGTTCGTAGTCCTATAGCGAACTAGCTCGTTAGTTCTTTTTTTAAGTTTTCAAGAGATCTAATTAAAAAGGATGAGATTATTGAATGTCATTAAATAAAAAATAATTAAATTTACTTTAAAAAAATATTAATGGTTTTATTAGTATATAATATACTACATAGTATATAATATATGCAAGATATTTATCAAGTTTTTGAAGTGTATTGAAGTAATGAAAATAACACAACTGCAATTTATAGATTACATGTCGCTAATTAATATATACCAAGCCTCAATATAACGAATTCCTCGATTTAACGAATTTTTCGAAATCCCCTAGAACTGCCTATAAGAACTAATGCAAAATATAATTCTACTTTACGAATAGATTTTCTCAAACACATCTTTATAACAAATCTTTAATCATTGCAGAATATATATAGAAGGTATTATTTATTTCTAATTAATCAATTTTTTCAACTTGAAATCTTGACATAACTTATCCTATCAATTATTCCCACTTAATTCCACAATCTGGGGGCACGGAAGTGCCCCCGCCAAGTCGAGCAAAAAAGCGGCACGGCCGTACTATCCTTTTCTCGAAGCAGTTCAGGCCATTTTCGAAACCCTATAACTTCGTTGTGGAGAAAACTAGAAGCCTGAATTTCAGTAACCAAGTAGGCATTGTATAAACTCGGTAAATTTCAAATTTCATCAAATTTGAACCAGTAGTTTAAGAATTAGAACTAGTCGAAGTTCCTTATTTTGTCACTCACTGACTGACCGATCATCAAAACTCTAAGACACTTCTAACAGACATAGAGGCTTCAAATTTGGAATACAACTATTGTTTAGTACACAAATCAAGGAAAAATTAAAATATTCTGAAATTTCGGTCCAGTTTTCGAGATACACCAACTGCATAAATAACTTTGTAATCCCATATAAATATATAGGATTACAAAGTTATATTTGCAGTGAATGAATCAGTATACCTATATACGTATAATATAATGGAATAATAGGTGTAGACCTAGATATAACTATCCACAAAAAGAAACGAGATGCCATCAAAAACATGACTTGTAAAAAAAACCAAGTCTCGCAACTCAGTTCTTCTACCGTAAAAAAATCCATGTAATACCAAGTCGGTAAATTTATTCAGTCCCTACTTAAGGCGCAGGTTGAGCAAAATGTCGCGCTAGTCGTTATTTGTGCTGTTTTTAAGAGCTATCTACTTTTTATTTAAAAGATATATCAACAAATAAAAAACACATTATATTTCTACATAATCTTGATTCCATAAAAGCTATATCCAATTTTTTTTTAAAGGAATAAATATTAATATAATCTCCTTACAACGAAACCACATAAATGTGAAATTATTATTGATAACATGCATCTCCTCGTAAAGTAAGTATTATTTTATTTTGCGATTTACACCAATGGATAGGCAATTTATTAATGAACATTTCTATAGTAAGTTTTTTTTCAAAAGACCTAAATTTGATTTTATTAAGAATTTATTTTAAAATCTGGGCATATTCACTGCTCACGGGCTTGCTGAAGTCAGTGAGCCCTGAGCTCTTCGACGTAAAGCCCGTGTCGTTAGAGCGTCGATCAGCACATACACTCACGTCATACCAGTCGAGAATAATATTACTTATTAGGTTATTTATAGGTAGTATTATTTGTTTGTTTTGGGTATAATTTTTCGTATGACTTATACTTATGTTTGTTGTGTTTTTTACTGCGCGATGAAGCTTTTTGCGTGTATTTTCTTTGAAGTAAATGCAAATAAAAAAATGAAGCACCATTAGCATGTAAGGTTCGAATCCATAATTAAAATTTCGACAACTATTATAATTTACACTATAAAAGGCTAATTGAATATTATCACCCAACCACAATATCTTATTAGGTATAGTACTGCCTCGTTGGTCTAGTGGTTGTAGTAGTGCGACTTCTGATCATGAGGTCCCGGGTTCGAATCCTGGGTCGGGCCAAAAAGTCAGTTATGAGTTTTTCATTTATGTTCTAAGTTATAATTAGTATTACTAAGTTATAGTTTTTTTGCTAAAATATAGTATATTATTTATTGCTGGTTTTTTCTTCTTTTTCAAAAAATAATTGAGTACACAAGGTGTTCTATACTTATAATTCGGTAAAAAGTATCTAAGTAGGTACTAATATACCTACTTTTTACTATTAACTAAAAATTTTTAAAACTAAATTTAACTAAAAAGACTAAACTGACCATTTATTTTTTAACTCAAAACAGGACATGGGTTTATTTATACTCTAAAAACTATAACTTTATACAATTAGTGTTCACTGTAAAATTATATTCGGTATAGACGGTAATTATTAAAAGCAACATATTTTTTTTAATTATTAATTACATTTGTAAATGGATTAAATTTGCTTTAATAAAGTTGGTGATGATTTTAAATAAAAATAAAATTCTGCTCAAGTTTTTTTATTGTTATCTTTGTTAAAAACATCGCCTTTAGAACTCTGGAACCGTAAGTGTTTCTTTCAGACGTCCACAATTTATTCAAAATAAAAAAATACTCTTTCTACCGGAG